TTTTTGAATACTCTCCTAAATTGCTGGAAAAAAAAAAAAAAAACCCCCACACACAAAAAAAAAAAAAAAAAAAAAAAAAAAAAAATTGCACTGCTTGGGTGCACTGGTATCAACAGGTTTGGAGGATTTGCCTTACATGAAATTACTGCTGCCTTAGGTGTCATTCTTAGCAATGTTAAGTGTTATATTTCTTTGCTGTTCTTCAACACTTCTGAAAAACAGTTAGATAATGGAAATAGTCTCACTTGTTATTTCCATGTTTATTGTATTTTTTTCTCTTCATATCTGTTATCTGAATTAAGACAATATTTTAAAAAATTGCTCCAAAGTAAGCTACATTTTTTTTAGTAGAAATTGCTGCATATAGGCACAAAACCTCTGTAAATCATGGTCCTCTCATTTGTATTTGTATTTTGTATTTGTTTGTATTTGAATGTTCTGCTTCTGTACAAGTCACATGGGCACCAGCATTTGGATGGCCCAGGAAGCACAGGTGCAAGCAGTTCACTTGTGCTTCCCACATGACACTTCCCTGGGCTCATTTAAGGGCTAGCCTCTGAAGGAAGAGTTTCTTCTGGTCAAAGGCCAATTCTTGAGGAGTGCTCTAGAGCCTTTTGCATCATGCAGGTGAATCAACTTTTTCCTGTGTGCAACTGTTGATAATCTTAAGGATATTCTGAAGGTATCACAAAGAACCTATCCAAAGCCATTTTCACTGGAAGCAAGGACCAACAATAGGCATGGCACTTTCAACCCTAGATATCATAATGGTCTGAAAATCAATTTGTGCTAGTTTAACTCTGGCTGTAAGGTAAACCATTCCAAAATTACTTAGTCACTTCTCTACAGTGGAATGGGAAGGAGAATCAGAAGGGCAAAAGAGAAAAAAACTTCATAGCTAAAGATTAAGACTGTTCAGTAAGTGAAAGGAGAAAAGATAAAATGATGCCTATGTCTTTTATTTGATGCTGTTTCTGTAACAGTAAACTTTACCCACATCTTTCCTCAGTTCTTGTGAGACATGGGTACTTTCAACAAGCTAGGTCCCAGGGATACTTAGAACTCCATCTCAGTCCATTTCAGAACCCACAGAGCTATTCCCTGAACTGGTATTTGGGGAGATGCTTGTGTGAAGATGGAAATTAAGATCCCACTGGAAACAGTCCACTCACGGGGGAGCAAAGAAATTTGTCCAGATATGTGTTACTGTAAGAATAGAGAACATACAGAAAACAACAATTAAAAAAACCCACAACATCAACACTCCTTCCTATCCCCCCCCAAAAAGAAACATTTTGCCTGGAAAACAAGCTGTAAGACATTGTATTTCTGTTACTGTATTTGCTTTAAATACCACTCTGCAATTATCTTTGTATGATCAAGATACTCAAGCTGTTCAACTTGATAGTTTTTGGACTATGTTCTCAGATACAGGTTTGGCTATATTATCAGATAAGGAGTTTTATGACTAAAAGATCACATAAAGAGTCTCAGAAATGAAATTTAGAGCTAGCTGGTACATCCCAGACACAGCTGCCTGTCAGCAGCAACATCAAGAAGTGAATCCAAGGCGTAGAAAACTGTTGTATTGAAAATTCTTAGTTTTTATTTAAAGTGAGTTTTGTTTTTTCTTTTAGGAGAGAAGATGTGAGCAGAATGAGGAATGAGCTAATCAGCTAACAAAACAAAGGACTGGACAACTGACAATACATTTCTAAAATGACTGAAATATGACAAAAATTTGAAACTTAAAAGAACAATTAGAATTTTCCTTATATCCTTCCACATTGTACATCCTGCTTCTATGGGCAAGAGTGATAATTCTGTGTTCACCACTAGAGGGATGATTTTATACAGAACTATCATCATTATTAAATCTTGAATCCATGTAACCCTAACCCTAACCCTAACCCTAACCCTAACCCTGGATTGTATGTGCACATGTCATAGTTTGTGAAGAACTATTTGTTTCCCCTCATCCATTCTAACTGAGAATATTGTTGAGGTAACCAAAAAAACAACAAACAAACAGTAAAATTCAGACATATTTCAGACCTACTTCAGAATGCAGTGATTAGATTTTATTTCACTTTTTTAAAACATTTTTGAATTTGGATTCCAAAGAAAAATCAGTGTCAATAAGGAGGTCTGACATAAGTTTTCTAAGAAGAACTGAATCTGTAGACTTTGCAACAACAGCAGTGAATGAACACCATTCTAATTTAGAAAGAAAAGAATAAAATGAGGGTCATACAGAAGTATTCCAAAAGGAATTATTTAAAATAGAATGAAAGCATTTTCTTCTATTAAAACAAATAGCTCATTCATGTATGATGAAAGAGTGCTCTTATTTTACTTGAAAAGAAAAAAATAAGGCTGAAAGTAAATTGTGAGGTAAGACAATGCTGAATTTAGTTAGTTTAATATTTACTTTGTAGACTGAAGACTTCAGAAGTCAACAGATTTCTTGCTTCTCTGTGGAGAGATTTAGATTTCCTTAGTTCTCTACATCCTTTGAATTCTACTTTGAAGCAGATGTATACATTTTATTTTGGCTGCCAGCCATAGTAAAACATGAAATAGATATATAACTTATATGATTCTTTAATAAATCTGTTTCCTTTATTATCAGAAAATATCCCCCCCTAACCCCAGCTTTAGGTCTAGGAAGTGGGAATTAAATTTTGTGTAGGAAATCACTGGGTTCTGTCCTTTGATGGTAAAGAGCCATGTTCAGACTGGAAAGCAAGCCAGCCTGCTGCCTATGAGCCAGTGGGGACAGATTATTACCAAAATGTTTTTCCCACTTTTAATCTTACAGATCATGCTTTAAATCCTACCTGTGCTCTATTGTAAAGTGGGCTGAATGCTCTGCCGTTAGCACAGTTTCTACTGACTTCTAAACAGTCAGTTGTACAAGTCTACATCAAACATGCTGTCTGGTAATAGTGCTAGTATTGCTAACAGTGTTTTCTGGGTTTTAACTAGTGAGAAGTTCAGTAGAAACAGTAAGGAACCTGTTTTCAGTAAAAAGGGTATATTTGCTAAATTAAGGAAAAATTCATGAAGGAAGGATACGCAAGAAGTGATATTTCATTATAGATTTCTCCAAATGAGCAGATGCAATCTTTGTGCCTCCTTTGAGGACATAAATGTAGAACAGTCCTGCTTGGAAGTTTCATTTAGGTCTTCTTTTTTATTGTACTTCCCCAGCTTTTCCTTGGATAAGATTTGTTTTGCTTTGTTTTGTATTTAATTGCCTGTAGCACTGTGTATTATTTCAATACCATAGTTCTGATATGCTTTAGTGATATATGACTAAACTCTGGTGAGGTGAAGTGATTTATTACTTTTTCTTTTAATTGGGTTTTTGTTTGCACATCTAACAAGGCCTTGTTAATGGTAATTGAATAAACAGAGAAAATGTTTGGACAGTGCTCTAATGCTGTAAACAGTCTATCATTTTCTTATGAGAAACTGCCTCCTTGAACATTGAGAGCTTTCTTTTAGTTACTAAAAGCCTTAAAGGAAATGCAGATGAAGTTACTGTGTGTTATATGACTCTTGTTTCCACAGAGCTTTCATTTATTTTAGTACTCATTAATATAATGTTACCTAAAACAAGGCCTCATAGAACTTAACCTTTTGAAATCTTGTTATATATTTAACAATGGCAAATGCAGTAAGAGCAGCATGATTTGAAATAAATATATTTTAACATGAGCTTTTTTTCAAAAAAACCCTTCTTACTATGCAAACATAAGCAAGAGAGAAAACCCAAAAGAAAAAATCATGCAATAAAAAGAAAGCTGAATTATTTCAAAGAGAAGAATTTTCCACTACCTTTTGTTTCTTTCCAGTTTTAATATCATTTTAAACTTCTGTTTCATATAGTTCGTGGCTGATATTACGGTGGAATGGACAGTCAAATTCCAGTGTAAATTCTGTGTGCAGAAGGATCTTCTCATGTGAGCTTTACAGAAGCCTCACATGTTCAGAAACCATACCCGTTGTACTAAAGACAGGCTCAGGACCCTGTACTGTATTCTTGAGGCAGAAACATTGTCCTAATTCTTTCCTGCTCAAGAGTGGCAGAGGCTGCTTCTATTACAGAAGCAACCTGAGTTTACTCTTAAGAGCATATAAAAGGCCTTGTTGACGTCCAGGAAGATCAGGTTTTTTTACAAGCTTTACTTACATTGTTCCATACAAATATGACCGTTCTGTGTTTCATTCTATGCACCATAATACGTGGGAGCAGATGCTATCTCAGTGATATTATTCTGCAACTTTTTTCTCACTTATCCTCATATCCTCATGACAGAAAAACAAACAAACAAACAAATAAATTCACACAAAAATATTTGAAATGTGAAAAATCTGAAAAAACTGCATTGTTTTTCCTGTAACTATATCCTGTAGCTCCGAATCGTTGTGCAACTCTGAGTTCAGGTCAGTGCTTAATCTGTTCTCCTGCTCTTGGAAAGAACAGGACCAGGAGTTTCATCAAGGGTGACGCTGATGGAAAGAAGCCACAAGCCTCTCAACTAATTGGAAAGGAGAAGGATCTAGGAACATTATTCTGTGGGAGAGGAGAGAAACTGGGGAGGATGACAAACAAAGATCAGTATGGGGTGAAATCTCATGGGAAAGGAGCCACCAGCAACAGCAGTCTAAGATCTTTCTGCAAGTCCTGTGTAAATGGTGGTAAACAGATCAACATTTAATGTCCTGTGAAATTTAATTATAGTCTCTTTCACAGCTAAGCAATTACAAAACATTTTATCAGTTTTTTGTTACATCATTAGATCTCACCTTAAAACATTATGTACATAAATAAAATAATTCTAACAGCTTCATTTCACTCTTCTGCCCTGTAAGTAGAAATGGTGTCATGCTACAAAGCATATGATCCATGTGCAATTGCAATTATAATGGCCTTCAAAAAATTGCCAGAATTATTGTAACCTTTGCCAGAGCTTTTCAGGAGAATGTGAAGAGAAGTAATTAAAATAAATTAAAAACTGACTAAAAGTTTCCATATACAGTGGGAATAAAAGGTCAGCTCTGTCTTTGCAAGAGGTTAACAACAGAACACCACCTGGCTGTGTACTTGGCCTGATACTTATTGTTTGATATTTATGGCCATTGTATTGGCCATAGATGATATTAGTAAGTAGTTAAGAAGTAACACAGTGGTTATGAAGATTACAGCAGGGGGGCTTGTGTGGCATTACCTCCCTCAGCACAAACCAGCATACTGTACAAGTGAAGCAGTGAACACACCTGTGCAAATGCTGTTGATTCAAAAGAAGAAAACCGCAAATTTAAAAAGCATTGCATAGACTGGGGCAGGAAAAGAAAATGCAAGAACAAGGGCAGGGGCATGAAGAACTGGGCTACATTTTTGGAATTCAGTACTAAAAGAAATGTGAGTATTCAGTGTGGGCATAAAGTAAGTAATGGTACAAACAAAAAATGCAATAGGAAATAAAAACCATGCCACGTTATAACTTGGTACTTTTAAAAATGATTGTGAATATAGTTTTGGAGGCAAGACAGCCTTTTGCATCCCTGCTTTGCACACGGCTTTTGCCTTTTTCCTTACCCAAAGAAGGGTAGAACTGTCCATGCCATGGGTTTTCCCAGAAGAATACTGTGAGAGACTGTGTCAAAAGCTTTGCTGAAGTCTAGATAGACTACATCAACAGCCTTTCCCTTGTCTACCAGTTTGGTCACCCAGTTGTAGAACCAGAATAGGTTGGTCAAGCATGACCTGCTTTTCATGAACCTGTGCTGGCTGAGCCTGATCCTCTGGATGCCACACATGTGCTGTGTGATCTCACCCAGGATGATTTGCTCTATAACTTTCCTCAGTACCGACATCAGGCTGACAGGCCTGTCGTTCCCTGGATCCTTCTTGTGGCCCTTATTGTAGATGGGAGTCACATCAGCAAGCCTTCAGTCCTCTAGGACTTACCCAGATAATCAGGGGTGTGAGTAGATGGCGGAAAGTAGCTCAGCAATCATCTCTGCCAGCTCCCTCAGAGTCCTAGGATGGGACCCATCCAGTCCCCTGGACTTGTGACAGTCAGGATGGAGGAGGAACTCTCTAACTGTCTCCACCTGAATCACTGGGGGTGTATTCTGCATAGCATCCCAGATTTCCAGATCAGGATGTAAAGTACCCTGAGGATAACTGATCTGCCTATTAAGGGCAGATGTAAAGAAGGCGTTGAGGACCTCAGCCTTCTCCTTATCCTCAGTGGTCACATTCCCTACTGCATCAAGTAAAGGATGGAAATTCTCCTTGATTCTTCTCTTACCACTGATATATTTGTAGAAGAATTTCTTATTCTCTTTTACTGCAGAGGCCAATCTGAGTTCAAGTTGGGCTTTTGCCTTTCTAACTTCCCCCCTGCATACCTTAGCATCTTCCCTGTAATCTCCCCAAGTAGCCTGTCCCTTCTTCCAGAGGATATAGACTCTCTTTTTGTTCTGGAGTCTCAACAATAGCTCCTGGTATATCCACACCATTCTTCTTCCCCTACAGCCTGGTCTTGTGCCTTTAAAATTTCCGTCTTGAGAAGCGACTCCCAAGGGACTCCTGCAACAAGTGTCCTGTCCAGGTCAAAGTCCACCCTCTGGAATTTCAAGACTGCAGTTTTGCTAGTCACCTTTCTGACATCTCCAAGAACAGAGTATTCTACAGTTTCATGGTCGCACCACCCAAGACAGTCCCCAACCTTCGCATCTCCCATCAGTCAGTCCTTCTCTGATAG